AATAATAAGAAAAGAAATAAAGATTTAAAAAGCAATATCATTTGTTATGTAATCTCTTCTTATTTATTGATACGTTAGAGAGCTCTTATGTAGTAATAAGGGTCAAACGTCATAATAATTATTCTTATTAAGATTTTATTAAAAAGACATGAAAGATGTACAAACTTGTTGACAACAGTAGTCCCGTTTTTTTAAATTATTATGAATCTTAAGAGCAATTATTTAACGAAGTTTGACTGTCTTAGTAGTAGGACAAAAATCACTGACATTTGGTTAGATTAATATAAGTAATGTTCCCTATTTTATCATTTTTATAATAAATTGTTGTACTAAGCAAACCATACAAAAATAAGAAAAAAATTCTCTTGCATTTGTAGAAAAAAAAGCCCGTTAGGTTAGAATGAACATACATATATCAAATGTAGATAGTTTCGTCAGAGATGTAGGAAATGCCAATAGAATTTTCTGGGTAGCTTCATGGGCGAAGCTACTGTCTTGTAAATACAAGATTATGTGATAAGTCAGTACCTAGATAAAATGTTATTCTAATTCCTCTCTATTCTATGGAAATTACATAAATATAATTAAATTTTTAGTTTAAGATTCCAAAATATTTGCTATCAGAGCAGACGTCAATGGTTCCGAGAGTGCTTATTTGAAAAAAGTAACACCATGTCCATTTGCTACTCAATATGATGATGAATACATGGCAATATTTGTTTATACATCCAGTAGAATCATATTAATATCTAGTATTTAGAACTAGTGTTAAAATAAATTTTCATTGTAGGTATATAAGTTGTAGTTTTAGGTAAAAAATATCTGACAACCTTAGAATAAGAATAAATTTGAACTAACTTTACGGGTAATTACAAAACGTTTCAATAGCTCCATTAGTAGAGCCACTATTAAGCAATCAGAAAATTGTATAATCATTCAGCACCTGTGGAAGAAACTTTTCTAATTTTTATTATTTACTTTTTTAATATTTGGTCATAGATTATTCTAATAGTGCTTGTTTTTAAAAAGTACCACCATTTTGATGTGCCAATTTATATAGCGATAAATACATGAATATTTTCTTGTATATTCCATGGAATTATGTAAGTATCGACAAGCATTATTATCACTTTCGTTGTACTTATTAAACATTAAGGTTTAGGTAAAAGATTGCTTAAAGACTAAGAATAGGACTCTATCTAAGCCTACTTTCTACATAATTGCAGGATACCCCGATGGCTAAATTGGTAGAGCAACTGTCTAGTAAATAGGAGGTTGTGGATTAAAAATGCACCTAGGGAAGACATTTTTTCCAATATTATTTACTGTTGAACATTTATTTAAATAAACATGATTAAGTTTTTATTACAGTTTCTAAATTTGTTACATAATAAGGATATAGATTGGTCTAAGGGTGCCTATTTAAAAAAAGTACAGCTATTATTATGTGCTAATTACCCTGCTAATAAATATACAAATATGTTGTCCTACACATAGTGGAATCATAGTAACATGTTCATTGTAGAGCTGTTTTGTGTAACTTTCTTAACTTGTTTTATACTGCTTTGACGTCAACTGCAAATAGTGAGAAAACTCCGACTGTATTTAGACCAATTTTTGAACTGTTTAACTGTACAAACTCAAATCTTCAGAAGTAATTATTTTGTGAAAAAGGGAGAAATTTTTTATTTATTACTATAAAAATCAAAAATCGATATCATACAATTATTAATATCTTTTGAGTTTTACATAATTGATTGATAATCTGGAATACAAATTGTATTAATAAATGCCCTAGTTTAATTAAAATAAACAAATGTTAGCTGTCTTTTGTCAAAAGCATAAAAACTTTTTCTCATCCTTAAAAAAACACGAAAACTGTTGAAATTACACTGGATAAAGCTAATGAAATATGCATCATAACAAAGTATTGCAGTATTTATTTGTAGATTTACAATGATTTGCAAAAACGTAAATTTTTTTGTTGATCTCATCATATCGTAAGTCTCTGATGTTTTAATAGAAAGTTTCTCATTTCTTTGATATTTTGATGAAGATATCGAAGATACTTATTTTACCATTCAATATAACTTTATAAATAAGAACTTTGTAACATTTTGACAGACTCGACAAAAGTTAATAATTTATTTTATAACTTTTTCAACCTTTATGCTCCTTCTCTTAACTTTTTTTCCTTACATAGTGTAACAAAGACATTCATCTTATTATTTAATTACTTATGTAAAATAACAGATGTTTGATAAAGCGACAAACTTGACCTTTTTTTGTTGATCTATTTACTTAGAAAATTTTTGATTTTGTTTAATTCTTTAGAACGAGTAGCATTAGCACTACTATACATGTTTGATAAAAAGCACTTTAAATTTTTCTAGCTTCTGTTACTTAAATAACTGCTGCAGTATATATCACCGTATTTAAATGTAGTTTTGCTGTCCTTTTCTTGCATATATATCTAAATCATATTAGACTTGCCTAACCTTTTACTTCAGATAAAACTTCATTTTTTAATGAAGATATTGTTTTGGTTTTGGTGACTTTCAAGTTCTAGATGTTTTATTCATCTTATTTTTATACAAGTATTTAATTCTCAACATGTTAGAATCAGTTTTATCAGTCAATTACGATTTTTTAAGCTATAAGCGTATATTTTTCATGAAAAGCCCAACGAGAAACATGAAAACTTAGAGGAAAATTGATTATTTCACTAATTTCCGGAGATGACGAAGTTACTAGAAATGCTTGATAATAATTTGGCCCGGTTTCTAATGCAAATGATAAGAAATTTTTGAGTTGTCGATAGTTTTTATTGCTTATGTTATTTATATGCTAAGAATTATTGTACGTGTAACCACATACAAATTAAAGTTCTGTCGGTAATAACGATTCGAAGGACTGTAACCTCATATCTTTAGTAATAAACGTTTTACTAACAATATGATAATCTGTGGATCTTTAAACTGAAAATATTTTAAACTTCAGCTTGTTAAATTATAAAAGCATTACAAGAAATATTGAGTTTTCGAGATGAAATCCCTAGTCTTTTTTTGATTTTGAAAATTGGATATACTCAGATAATACTTATCTGTAATGTTTCTACTCTTCCTATTGTGTAATTTATAGTCTGCATGAAAAATGTTTATATAACTTTAATTTGTTATCAAATTTGTACTTTTCATACAATAAAGACATTTGTGTCACCATACACTATGTTATAAGTTATTGGCTGTATATTTCGAATATTTTTAAAACGTAAATTTTTTTAAATTTAAGAAAAACATTATATGCGTATAAATAATTTCTTTTTTGTGTTGTTTTTTTTGTGACTTTTCTTTGAATAAAAAATAAACTTATTCAGAGAATATTCTATCTTACAGAGTAAGACTACATGACTACGCTAAATTACCACGTTTAATCACATAAAGAACATTTTTTGGTATTAATAATTACATTGAAACTTATACTTTCAGAAATTTAGACTGAGACCTTAGAATCGATTGATAGTTACAGTTCTATTTTAATGTGACTCACTACATTAATTGACTTTAAGGGATTTTTTTTTTTAATTTTACAGTGATTTTTTTTTTGTATTTGTATGAAAAATAACGCATTTCCGTTCACCAATGTGATCCATTTTATCTTGATTTCACAGTTAATTCTAATTTCATTTGAATATCACACTAAATATGTCATAGTTAACACGAAGATACTGATTATTTTACTAACAATGGAGAAAAAAGAATTAAATATCTTTAAGTCGTTTTCTAGTAAAATTCCTTTTTTTTTTTTTTTTTTGTTAACATTCACTTTTACTCTCTTTTTTTTCATTCAGCAAGTTTATTGTGGGTGCATTTAAATAAAATCACAAGCAGTTTCTTAAGATAGGTCATTCCTTACTTTCTGCTTTATGTAGTGTATCATTTATCCGTCAGTGGTTTACGTACATGACCTCTGTTGTCATTAAGTATGGGATTTTGTAGATCGTACGCATATCAAAGTTATACTTATCCTCTTTTTTGAACTTTTTTTTTAAAGTTGTCACTTAAATTATACATTACTGCATCTTAAGCATATAAAGCAAAGTAGTTCATATTATAGTGGCATTTATTCAAAAAAATTTGACAAAATCTAGGTAAAGGCTATAACCATTACACAACCCTACAACAAAATTTGGGTGTGGCAGACTGGCTCATTATACCTATATATTTTTGAAGTTACAAAACCTAAATCCGGAGTTTGTCAAGTCCTACCAGTTTAGGGTTGAAGTTACTCTAAGATCAAATAAGTAAAAATTGCCATGGGCAAAACAAAATCTTCATTTTTAAGTTTCTGGGATCACTTAATAAGAATCATGTCTCATATTTAAAGAGAAATACATATTCTGTAACAGAAACATGAATTAGGACTAATAATTAATATTTTAAAGATATTTTTGAAGGCTACACTGCTCCATAATACCAATGTTAATGCATTAATACATACCACTCATTTAACAGTTATGGATAAACTATCTTACACAATAGTAGCTTTCACATAAAAGTTAACACAAAAAATAAGTGGTCACGGATAATGGCACTTTTTTGTTGTCCAAGATAATTTATATAATTTTGTCGAGGGCTGACATTGTTTTCACTTTTTTGTTAAATTTGTCTTGCCTTCTAAAAGCATCTAAGATAACTTACATTTTTAGGACTAGTATTAAGCAAGAATTATAAATCTTAAGTCTCAGCTTTCCTAATCATTTTTGATACGCCGAATAGTTTCTAGGACAACTATAATAAGTGTTAAGCGCTTTTCTGCTTTTGTCTATTAAGAGTAGCAGCAGTCTAAGGAGTGAAAAATTGTTTTCATAAAACTTGTAATAATAGTCACTGTTGTTTTCTTAAACATATTTATATTAAATCTCATTTTTTAAAGCTTATTTCCTGACAATTAAATCATTTAAAATTAATGATAATAGTTCTTTTTTATTCTAATCTTAGGTACTTTATAAAAAAGTTGTTGGTGATACAACATTTGGACAGATATCTCTTTTTCTATCAATGATTGGTGTATGTAATGCCACCTTGTTATGGCCAATAGGCCTCATTCTATACTTTTCGGGAGTGGAATTCATAAGATTAGAGAAAATACCCTGGATCGTCCTACTAATAGCAAGCATTCTTCATTTAGGTAATATATTTTTTATTTTGTACTTGTTTATTATTGTTATTTTTTAAGGAATATTTTTTATTTTAGTTGCTAACATGTTAGGAAACTTCAGTATTGCTCTGACGTACAACCTTTTCACTACTTTAGGGTTGATAACAGCTGTTCCTGTTTCAGCAGGTACAATATTGTATTAATAGTGTTTACTTTTTTCATAATACAACTATATTAATTTAACAAGCAATGATATCCAAAAAGACTTAGAAAGTTTCTTTCAGCATCACTTAAAGTGTAGATAATACACATGTGTATATACTTTATTGTGCACAAAGTGAGAGGAAACCTTATGTATCACCTACTTTTACATAGGCTCACACCCCTAGACCACTGAAAAATCAGCTTCCATAGTAAAACAACTGACAAATCATTGAGGGTGCGTAGCTATCTTGAGTAGAATAAGAGTTTTTTGCATTTCTTTGTTGTAGACTGTGTCCTCTTTATGTACATCATCTTATCAGCATCATGCTTTACTTTTCACCCGTTACTTATTGTTAGTAATAAGATGTTACTTATTATGTTACTTAATGCTAAAATAACTTCTCTCCTAATATAAATGGGCAGCTCAATGATCACAATAATGATCAGGCACCCTTACTTGATTGACATTATTAAAAAAATAAAAATACTAACATTTCCCTGTAAAAGATGTTTCTGTTACGTATGTAGAAGTTTTTTTTTTGCTGTACTTCCATGTCAAAGAGATACGTCACTGTAAAATAAGCAATTTGGTTTTTTTATATTCTTATTTGGAAAAAAACTACTAGTACGCTAAGCAACCTTTTTTATGGACATCTCCCATCACACATACCAACACATATAAATATATATACAAGCAAGAAAACCCGCACGCTTTAAAAATTAATTCTACTGTAGCTTTTAATGTACTATCGTACAATGACTAAGCCAATTTTTATGTAAAGTTTTAAGTTTCTTGTAGTAGCCATCACAATGCAGCTAGTGTGAAAATCCACTTAATTGCTTTGATAGTTACGATAATATGGTGATGTAGGTGTACTAGCGTGCACGATAATGGTTAGAAAGAAGAAAAATCTCACAAAAAAAAACGTAAAAATACATTTACTTTATCTCTAACACTTGTTTTGACTAGAAATAGAATAGAGATGTTGATTAACAAGAAATTTAACAAGTATCTTTAAAACAGTCACGTCATTATTTTAGTAATTAAAGCTGTTACGTCTTAATTTCTGTAAGTAAAGAGTGGAAATCTTAAATTCATTCTACAAATAAATGAGTTTAAATTTCGTTCGTTAGTAACCAGCTGTTGGCCAAAAAGCTTTACTAACTCATACTAACAATATACTTTTTCTTTAAATAGTTGACTCGGCATTGCGTTGTTAGGTATCACCAAGCGATGAGGATATAGTAGAGTTAATGTGTAGTACACCAAACTGGCGTTGACCTTCTGTTTCGATTCATACATTATGTAAAACAGAAGAAGCATATCTTCTTTGTCTTCTTATCTCATATCCTTTTAAAAGTGTTTGTCATACATTATCTGCTTAAAATTTTTTTGGTATTCAATTTATTCATCAAAGTAATAATTATGTTTCTATTAATAAGAATCTGAATCCTAACCTATTTTATATATTCAAGTTATTAAAATATTTGAATTAGAAAAATAAATTAAATTATCAGCCCAGTTGAGTCTTATCTGATAGTTTAAGAGATTTTGTAAGACCGAAAATAACTGATTTTACGAACAATATAAATAACAAAATTTTAGATTCACATTTACAATGATTTCGTAATTTATTGTTTTTCTTAACTTAATTTACTTCTATAATCGTTAGTTAGCCACTGCTTGCCTCAAAGCAGTCACAAGATCTTACAAGGTTGACCACAACAATGATCCTAACCGTACATAAAAGTACTCGTGGCAATGTAATTGCTTTTTTTAACGTCAGAACCCAAGTCAACGGTCCTTCCTTTGTTGATTCGCTTTGATTAACTTTTTAGGTGAGTCTACAGTGGCGTAATTTTCTTAAACTTTCTTTCATAGCTTAGTCACCGAAGTAAGTCTTACATTCGTTTAAAATGCACGCTTTTAACGCGTAGCTTAGTCACTGAACATTCGTATAAAAGACTCAATAGAACTTACTCTCCAACCTTTGCAGTTCCCTTAGAGAACTTGATGCGAGAGAAAAGGCAAATATTGGTGTGAGCAAGGAGTTTTTATACTCCTGCATTTTAGGAGAGCACGTCACGTTAGGGATCTAAACCACCAATCAGAGTTAACCCTAATCCCTCTCGATTGACATGAACACAGTTGTGTTACAATAATTACACAGTAATTGATGGTTATAACTGCTAATCTCTTGGATTTAACATTAGGTACAAATTGCTGTCAAAATTATGTATAACATTTCTTGTGGATATACGTAGTAAAGAATGATACATTCGCAGAAGCAGGTGTACCACACGATGTTCAGTGTTTGCTGAGCTTTTGCTTTTTAAAATTTTTAAACGAAATTCAATATTTCGAAGTGATAAATAGTAAGTATAGGATGTGGGATGTTACAAAGCGATTGTTTTAAAATAATTATTCTAGACACTTTCACTGTTCTGTATACTTGAGATAATGTTACTTTTTTTTTATGAATGTATTATTCTTACTTTTTTCTTTTACTAAACATTAAATAAAATTGTGAACAGAAAACATTGTAAGATTTCAAAATCTTGCATTTGATCCTTGCGTAACTTAAATTTTTAGTTAACAATAAAATATGGTTAATCTCAAAACAATATGAGAAAAACTATGAAACATGTACATATGTATGATCAAGCAACCGACAGTACAATTTCGAGTTTTAAGTGGCTACTTGAGCTGGACTGGATTTTTGAAAAAAATAGATCAGAGAAGAACAGTTAGGTCTGGTCAATAAAAAATAAAACTGTTAAAAAAGTCTTGAAGCACCTAAAAAAATTTTTCTATTATTTTATAATAAATGCAAAAACAAGTCATTGCAAGTTAAATTACATGAATCTATAACTAAAAAAAAGTACCGAACTTATAACATCAATGTAAAATTTTATCTTATAACAGCATAAAAACCTAACCATCTTGTTTCAATTAACAGGTAGCTAAACTTATTCATTCTTGCATGTGCAAGCATGATAAAGTAGTAAGTAAAGCATTGCAATCATTCATAACAAAAGAGTTATAATAATTTTTCATGACTTGAACTTACGTTAAAGCACTCCTCATAAATTACACACATTTTAAGTTAATAGACAACACCGATACTATTTATTACTTTGTAACACAAATAGATTGACATACTCATAATGAAAATGTAAATTATGTTTTGTATAAATTACTTTTTTATTTCTAAAAACTGTTTTTATTACATGACAATTCACTACCATCAGGCAGTTAAATAATTTTTTAAAGTGCAAACCTTAAGTTGCCTATGTTGCATTCAGTTGAAATAGAAGCTATAACCGTACAAATACTTTTACAATTCAACTAGTGCTTATTCTTAGAACTCTGGCCAGAGATATCATTCATACAATAGTAACAATTATTGTGATCACGTGAAATTTTTCAAATGTACTTGGATCTTTCTACATAAACTGCTAATTAACTATAGTGTTAATCTAGCTACTATTAACTATTGTCCACTGTCACCACAAGATTGTGGCCTTCATTCAGACACTTGCAAATGGGGTTCACTTAATAATTAAAACTTGGTCTAGTACGACAGAATAACTATAAAATTTTTTCCTGGTTCCAGTGTTATAGATTTATAGACCTATACAATTGGTATGGTTTGATCACACAGGTTCTTGTGGAATTCAAATTTGTGTTTAAGTTTAAATTAACACATTTTAAGTGCTTTTTTTGTCTCAGTTTAAGAGTCATGATATTATAAGAATATTAGCTTTTAGGGTTCTTAGGTAATAGGATTTCTGGGATCTTAGAACTTTAAATCAAAAATATTCTCAGCTTTGAAATGTTTTCTTAATAATATAAATTGGCTGTCTTTTAAAACCCTTATTAAAACTCACCAGTTGGGGTGAACGGCTTAAAACAAAAAGAATAAGTAGGGGGTAGGCATGAGTCGCCTTCAAGGATGTTGAATCGGTTTTTAAGATTGACCAACAATAAGCACCCTGTGCTGGAGGCTCTAGGTATGATGAGACAGCCCTTCCACTGAATTTCAACCTGCTACTGGAGCTAGTGCTGCTGGTGGATGGTTGGATGGTAATGTAAATCATTCAAGATGAGCCCGTAGCTAATGTGCTTGATGCCTGATTTTCTCGGTAGTTGAACAGTAGAGTTATGGAGTGTAGACGATCGTGGACGAGAGTGGATCAAAAAATGTTACCACAGTAAATTTTGAGAGGTATTATGTGGTGGTGCTTATTGCATATAATTAATGCTCTTGCGTCATTATCACTGCCATAGCGTAGGTAAGGTCAAGCGAGCAAGCATCTGTACTTTGCTAAGGATAGAGTAATCCAGGTGAATGACGTTGAGTTGTCACGCAATCCATCTTGTATAATAAGTCGTAATAATACTTGTCATGTTCTTTAATAACTAGTTGTCACCAACTAGAGATCAGAAGGTGGTACTGTTAGGCCCAAAGTTTGGAATTTAAACTGCGCCCGGTGTTTAAAAATTAAATTTTTGTAAAAAGATTGAAATTAATAAATTGTTGTTGTTTAAATAGTTAATAATTAGTAAAAAAACATCTCTTACACTACTGGATACGAATTTATGGTATAATGGAGTTAAAAATGGTATAGTTCATGGTCTTATCACATTCAAATATCATTACTATGTATGTATTTAGAAAGCCAAAAACAGTCTTGAAAGTTTAAATTGTGTGCTATCGCTAAATAGAACTTAGACTCTTATTCAGTGATCCAAAAACATATAAGAAACATTCTCTTCCAAGTAGGCCTGAAAATCTTTTTTTTTGTGTCATAATATTAGTTTCTTTAAGGTTACAAGGAATTGTCAGGTAATAGGGTCAAGTAAGTTATGAATTTTCATTCGGTGACAAAAAAACATATATAGCTCATATAGCTTTAAAAAATGTTTTTAAATCGTACGTTGCTATTTGCCATGTACATCACAGGAAATTACACTGGAT